GATCCGACGTGCGGTCAGGCCGATACCTCGGGCGATACGGAATACCCCATGTTGTATTCTATATATATATATATACAAACCTACCTTGTTCTGAAGGATGGTCAGTGGTAGGGAGATACACTTGTGGTCTCCGACTCTGAAAAAAGGGATACCATCTGGACATTTAGACTATTAGAGGAATTAGTTTAACCTTTATTCTGTCTAAAGTAACTACCACACATGTAATACATAGTACATGCAATGTATTAACAAACACCATTATCACATAACTTTTTGTATGATCTAAAGGTCTTGCAATGGACATGAATTCTAGAATATTTACTTTGAAGTCAAATGCTCAAAGTTTGTATTCTCTATTCAGGCCTCAAAATTAATGTTTTTTTTCCTATCGTCCCAGCACTGTGGATGAACTGTCCCTACCTGCTTTGGGGAATTATTGTATGACTTCAACTTAAAGTCAACTTTACTAGTATTTTGCTTATGTTCACTCTCAGGCACACTATAACTGCAGTATAGACAGAAAAATTTGAGGGGGCAGCAAAAGAAGGGCTGACATTCTGATGTTGATTATTTTTCTGTTGTCCCCCAAAATGTCCCAAAGTGTCGTTTTACTAATTTTAGTTGTCCCAGCCTAAATTCTAGTGGTCAGTGGCCATTGGACCACCTTTAATTTCGAGCCCTGTCTATTGTAAGAGACAAGTTCGTAGGAGAAAAATGTAGGCGTGGGGCGGGGCTACTGTAGTAGTTTGTAGAGTGACGTACGTACAAACGACAAATTCCAACATACGATAAATATCACTGTGGAATGGGCAGGCTACGAATCCTCTACATTCCCCATGTATGTCTGAGTATCCTCTTAAACATTAAGATCGGCTAATCCCTCGAAATAACACAGACAACCAGATCACGTTAGGCGTAATAGATATATAGACAGGGATGTTTTTTACCGTCGTTTTGACGCCGGACTCGCTGTGAAACCGGGTGAAATTTGTCTGGTTATACGACGGCAATCCCCTCAAAAAGTCGCCCTAGAAGAGAAGAAACATCAATAAAACACGACTGGCTACTTTTCAATTCCCGATACGTCAAATTAGCGTGAGTTTTGCCAGGAAAAGCGTGGTATAAAGAGATAGAACAAGAAACAGCGATCTGTACCCACCATCTTGGATTACTGGAGTTCAGAGGGATGCTGGGATATATGTCACAGGCCAGACTGCAGTGCGCCGCTAGGTGTCGCAGGGAAAGTTCCCAAAACGGCGCATCCTGGTCGAACCAAATTTTAATGAGGGTCTGCATGCCCTTTTTCGTTAACCGTTATGGGTTGTTTTAATTCACCGTTAATCGTTGCCGGCCTGCTCTAATTCAACGTTAAGCGTTATCAGTATATTCCTCGTGAAGCGTTATGGGTCGTTTTAATTCAACGTAAAACGTTATTTGTCATCCTAAATTCAGCGTTAAGCGTTAATGAATAATTCTTCGTTACTCCTAATTTTGCCTTTCAATGTGCAGGAAAATGCGTCATTGAAGGTGCAAAAATACAAAATTTCCCGGGGGAGAATGCCCCCGGACCCCCCTATATTGCTCGCTTCTGCGCTCGGTCCCTTCGGCTCTAGCCAGCAGCAGTTTTCCCTTCAATTTCCGGAAGTTTGCGGAGAGTTACAGAATTTTTTTCAACGAATCCGTCAACCTTGACAGGCAAATTACCAAAAATCTTGAGTAAAATATGAAAACATCAGAAGGACCGACAAACACTCTCAACACCATGATTTGCCTCTCAAAATGCGGGAAATTGCGTTTTTGAAGGCTTAAGAATCCTAAATTTCCCGGGGGGCATTCCCCCGGACCCCCCTAGATTATGAGCGCCTTCGGCGCTCCCCTCTCAAAATCCACCGGTAAAACTGGGCAGACTGAAAAAATGCAAGCTGGCCGACGTCGACTCGGACACCCCGGTATTTGTGGACGCACTCGGGGGGGAACACAGGGAACACATAACTGTTACCTATAATGCTTCATTACATGTAAGGTATACGTAATTTTGTCAGTGATCACAAAGAGAGATACCAAATCCAGTGCAGCTCGAAAAAAAAGCCTGTCAATTTACCGTTAAGCGTTGCCGACCGTCCTGAATTTACCGTTAAGCGTTATCGGCCCTGCTGAATTTACCGTTAACCGTTGCCAGGACCCCCCCATGCAGACCCTCTTTAATAATAACTAGAAAAGTAACATTTGCAAAGCAAATACATAATGTTTACCTTCGGATATGGTTTGCTCTGCTCCCCTGCACGCTTTACCCCAATTTAGGGGTGCTGTGCAGTACCCGAACAAGATCAGATCAAGTTAAATCTTTCTCAAACACATTCACAAACATGTATATGGTGACAGGAGTCTAAATGCAGCTCTAAATGCCTACTATGAAATTGCAACATTATGTAACCCAACACCAGTTACTATGGTGACAGACATCAACAAAA